AATAAGACCAAAATGCTGGATTCAAGTTTATTATACTTGTATAGATTTTCCTTTTTTGCAGTGCAGGCAGTGGAAAAATTGCAGTATTTGGTGAAACAGTTGCCCTGTGTTGTGAAATCATTAGCATGCTAAACATTTAAAGGCATTTTAAGAAATCTGACAAATGACAGCTGAAATCCTTCGGATAAGATGGTTCCTTTGTGACGAAACTGTTTCAACGACAATCTGAATTCTTACTTGGTGCATTGTAGGATGGAGGAGGAGGAAAAAACAAGACTTCTGTTTTGAGAAGACCTAAACACCACCTGGTCCTCGATAAGCAGAGGAAATGAACAATTGTTCCTCCATTCTAACCTTAGAGAACAGAAAGCTGTCATTGAGAGCCATGTTTGCATCCTCTCTCCTGACTCGAAAATAATTTGCAGATTATTTTGTTCTTTATCTGAGCTTGTGTCACTGCAGGAATTTGAAAATCAGTGGTAATTGTACTCTCGCTGTGCATCTTTTCTGCAAGTTTCTGACATCTAATTTTCTTCACCGCGTCTACCTTCCTGCTGCTTTCACTCCATGATGCACCTTGTTATCAGAATTCATAATATTCTAAGTCACTAAATCCCTCTTTTCGTCCTTATTTCTGTTCAATGCTGCTACCTTTCCCTCTCCCTCCTCTGTTCAGGTTCCAATTCATCGCTCTTTTCACCCAATACATCCTTATTTCCAATTTTTCTGAGTTCAGATATTTACTTTGCTCCTGTGACAAACTCCTGATGCATCTTTTCTTTTAGGAGTTATAGTTTCTTGTCTTTCCATAAGGGGCTTTGATTTATTGCACATCACACACAGGGATTTTAGTTGCTTTGTAAGGGGCTTCTCTTTCCATTTATGATTAGATTTCTCCTTTTCCTTTCCATACTTTTTCTATCTCTGTGTGTAAAATATAAACAGTTGGCACACCCTTGTGTCAGCGGGGGGAAGGCCGTGTCAATCCCTTTAGAATTAGTGGGACAAAGCGAAGACTAAGCTCTCTGATGTTGCAGGTTGGGGCTTAGAAATGTTTGTGAAAGGCAGCTTTGGCTTAGATAGGTGCATTAGCCCCTTGCACGTTCTTGTTACTGTACTGAGCTCTCTTTGCTCTATGTGTGTGATTTGTCTTCCCTCAGGCATCGCACCGAACATCACAGCCGGACCCTCTGACAGCACAGTGATTGACGGAATGTCAATCATCCTGCACTGTGAGACCTCAGGAGCTCCAAGGCCCGCTATAACCTGGCAGAAAGGTCTCTGTTACACACAGAAACATGTATGCAGCCTCATGAAATGAAGGCTGTTATCACATATACATCTATATGCTCCCCTGTTAACTTCTATGTTCGTTGACACTGAATTTCAAAAAGGTCAAATGTTCAAAGAGCTGCTCTCGGTCTCCTACAAAATCCTCCACTAAATTTACTGGAAACTACTTGGAAAATATGCAGGAAATCATGACGTAAAATTATCCTTTTTTACAGGAGGCTATTAATTTATTGTACTCAT